TACTTCCCCACCATCCCTGTTGAGTGTACCCAAACTTCAGACTAACCTGGGTGTGTCTTTCCCATGAACATTTGTGAGCTTCTGTTTGCATCATGCATATTTTTATCTCATTGACTGAAATAAATCATCAGGCCATACCCAGAGACAAAGTATAGCAAAACTATGTAGGAAATGGCATGGACAGCAAAAGGATTTAGTGATTGTGACCAAATGATGCCATTTAACAATGTACTTGTTTCTCTCACTCTCAAGTCACCTTTTAAATGAGAAAAATAATATACCATTAAAAATTAAATGAGATGACACTTAAAAGTGCCTCACCCAAACCCTCAAACAAAATTGATGCTTAGTAAATGTTAACTTCCTTCTATTTGCTTCTCTAACCCTATAAAATAAAAATAATACCTGCCACGCCTAATGAGAGTATTGTATGTTTTTGTTTTGTTTTGTTTTTGCAAAGTGGCACTTGTGAATTTCTTGAAGGAATATCAATTGATGTATAGTTTTATTACAGTAACTTACACTTACCTATACATAGACACAGCTAAGTTCATGTGGACGTTAAAGCAAAATCTTCATTTTGAGCATTGCAGTTTACCATGCAGTAAGTGCAAATGTTCTTGGTGATTGGTTCAAATATTTATATTGTAAGATAAAGCAAGTATGTATTGCTGGGCATGCAGGTCAGGGCCAGAGATGATAAGAGGGTTAGATGGAGGTGTGTAGTGGAGAATTAAGGAACTCTCTCATTTTTGCCCAAGATACTTGTAACTGATTTAGGGAGAAGGTGTTTTTTAAGCCAATGTTATAGTGAGACTGTTTCTAAATAAGAAGTGGATGGGGTAGCACAGAGGATATTATCTAAATGGTGGTTGGGTCACAGTCCTCTTAGCGTAATAAATCGAAAACTGTTTATGAAGCAGGGCAATATAATCTCCGAATAATGAACCTTGATTGTGCAGCTAGCAGTGATCCCCTGAGACTCCCAATGAACCTAAAGAAATAAACCCTGTAAATGGCCAGAGAAAGATAGGAAATTTGAGCCTCTTCAGACCTAATGGCTTTTGTGACACAGGTACTCCTGGTCTAGAGAAGTTGATTACAAAGTAATCACATCTTTGCCACTCAGCTCTTTGCATCAAAATTGGGAAGAATGGCTCCAAGGACAGGGCATTTTTAAGAGAGATCCTGGATGCAGGAACGGACCCTCTGGGGGTCAGGGGTCCCCAACATACTGTGCAAACTCCTGTAGCAAGAATTCAGCTCTGACTCCTTTTCCCTCCATGGCAAACTTAATTGACATTTTACCAGTTTCTCCACATTTAGTATTCATTGACTTTTTCCTCTAAGGCTTAGTTCATCTCAGATTTTTAAGTCCTGCTCATACAGAAGCTGAAGGAATTCTTCCAGAACATGAGTTCTCCAGCAGAGCTTGCCCCTAGTACTGTGGCATCTGAGATGGAAAATGCAGCTTGTTCTCACTTGTGGATATTTTGGCCACATTCTTCACTGCCAGGAGCATAAACATAGGATGGTTGTTCTTCATGGTTGTTCTTCACTGATATCACATACTTCTTTCCAAGGTCTGAGCATTTTTAAAATCCCTCCACAACCATTACTTCCCCTTTAGTCCCTCACCTTCTTAAAACACACACACACACACACACACACACATACACACGTTATACATACATGTAAACCATGATTGTGGGTCTCAGAAATACAGGTAATAATTTGATTGGAATCTTCTGTTATATAAATGGCTGTTTATTTTTGATAAATACAAAACTTTTTCTTGATAAATGCCTAACTTAAGGTGGATGGCCACAATGGCAAGAGCTAGACCAGTTCGCAGCTAGGAGCCAGGAGCTGCTTCTGGGTCAGCTATGTGGATGTAGGGCCCAGGGCTTTGGGGCCATCCTCTGCTGCTTTTCCAGGCAATAGCAGGGAGCTGGGTCAGAATTGAAACAGCCAAACTGGAGACACAGGTGGAGGATTAGCCTGCTACATTGCTGTGCAAGCCTTCTTGATCTTTATCTTCAACATCAGCATCAATAAACTCTTAAGAACTGAGGATGCTGTTTGGTTCCAGGGATTTAATTTAGTCAGGGGTCCCTAAGATGGCTGCAAAAACATAGTGAACACCCCAAAGTTCATAGCCAGGAGGGCTGGCATGCAAAGAACTTCAGTGATGCATTCATGCAGTATATTAAACTTATTTCCTAAAATCCATTTTTCCTGGTTCAGGAGGCTGTTTGATACCAAACAGTATATTTGGACTTCATCAAAAACCCATAAGCTTTAACTATATAATCAATATTTTGTCCTTCCTTTCTGTACTTTCTTTCTTTGCTTTGTTTCATTTGAAGGTCAGAGTTACACAGTGAGAGGGAGAGACTGAGGGATAATCTTCCACCTACTGATTCATCCCCAAAGGGCTACATTGACTGGGGCTAGACAAGGCTGAAGCCAGGAGTTTGATGCATCTTCCAGGTCTGCTTAGTAGGTGGCAGGGGTTGAAGGACTTGAGCCATATTCTGCTGCTTTTCCCAGGTTAATAAAGGGACTGGATCAGAAGTGTAGCAGCCAGGACACCAAATGGCATCTGGATAGGATGCTGGCACTACAGGCCGCAGCTTTACTCACTATACCATAATGCTGATTCTCTTTTAAGTTCTACATAGTCCACACATCTCTTCCACCCACTTTAAAGGGAGTTTTTGGAAGATTTAGGGTCAGAGAGGGGATTGGAATGTGGGGGTGGAGAGGTTGTTGTGCCAAAGACAAACACAAGTTAAGAGAAAGCTTTTGAGAAGTAAGTATGACTGGAAATCATGGTGAGAAGGTTGTTTGAGGGAATTTGAAGGGAATGAATGCTTTAGAACAGGTTGAAAGTCAGAAAGCAAAACATGGGTGTAGCTTATTCCAGTTACTCCATTTAGCTCTCATCCTGTTGAAGCGGAATGAGAGATGCCTTAGCAATGAGCTGTGGCAAGCCAGGTTTAATGTCCCAGGGCCAGAACCAGGGGCAGGTGAGTGATGGCATCTCTACCACAAATCAGTAAGAGTGATTTCCTTCCCTACCTGCCCATCCCCCTCTCCCGATGAAATCTTTGAGGGGGATAGAGGCTTGGGAAAGAGGGAAGGGAGTGGGATTCAAGATGGAGGTGAAGGAAGGAAACTCTTGCAAGAACAAATCAGTTTTTTCTTTCCGCAAGGAAAGTGATCATAGGTATCCAAATAGGAAAGGAGTCACCCAGACAGTAGAGCTGGGAGTGTGGAAGCAGGAATCTGACTAGAAGGTTTATAATGCTACGGGAGGATCAGGTAACTTCAGTAGAGGCTGGTAGGAATAATGCTGTGATAGATGGAAGATATGATGAGTTGGTTGAGTTTCTGACAACTCCTCTACAGGGTCCTGGGGACAGGGCCTGTTATGCCCTGTCCTCCACTATATCATCAGAATATAGAAAAGATGTTGTAATTATTTGTTGAGTGAATGAATAAACCAAAGGTTGCAGAATCCTAAACACTAAGATGCTGAATAAAAAAAAAAAAAACGTTGTTAAGACAAAGGAGATAAGGGCCATGGGCTGCAGAAATGGAAATGATGTTTCCTATTAGGACAGGGTGAGTGACATATGGAGGCTTCTGAAGGTTCATCAAGATATTAACATTCTGATCAAAGGCTGTGAGTAACTGGGCAAATAAGAATGAAGTTACACACTTGAACCTAAGGTGAAGTAGACAAGGGCTAGGAAAAGAACATAGGAGATTAGCCAAGGATGTGAATGTAGGGAAGAGGCTGAGTAACATAATTGATGTAGTTTCTGAAGTTCTTCAGAATGTAGTTATGCCTACTGCAGGAGAAAGACGTGACTTAATTGTAGGTTAACACCATCAATTAATGGTTGCATTTGGAAAACAGTGTGTATTACCCTACCTTAGAAGTATTTTAAGGCATCAGGTACAAGAATAGCAGATAGCAGGAGGGGTAAGTCACATCTCAAGGGCATCAACCTTGAAGATTATTGAGGGTTCACATATGGGGCATATGTGGGGATGAATCATATGTGTGATGTGAATGTATCCTTGTACCCTTATACTGACAGGAATGTCCTAGCTCCGATGAAGGAGTCACTACTTGAAATAGAGGTGGTAAAAAAAGTAAATAAATAAATAAATAAACTCCCCCATAGAGAATTCTTCAAGCATAAGGAAATTTGAGAAAAATTCATCTTTCAACTTCATTAGACTCTGACCCAGGTCGTTGCCATTTTTCTTTCCTTGTCAACTTTTTCCACATGACCAATAATGCTGAATGAAGCAGTCAATCTTGATTTATTTCGAGTCTGGGACAGCACACATACTTATTATTTAATGCTCAGCTGTTCAGGAATGGAGTCCATAAATCAATGTTCAATACTTTCACTAAGAAGAATCTGCACTTACATGCTTGTAAGCATCTGGTCAAACTACCAAAATTTCAGTCAACTAGCTGTTGTTGCAACACTGGGATGAACACATGAATATTTAGAAACACTAACATGGTAGAGATTTTTTTTCAGCTTTCTACACACAAGCCGACAAGGCAGCTAAGTTGCTGGTATCAACTTGGAGACATTCCCACCAGTGAGGGTCCCATTTCTTCAAAGAGGAATGAATGAATGAATGAATGAATGAGTGAATGCATGCATGCATGCAGAATAGTCTGCTCCAGAGGAAATCAGCTGCAGAGCTAAAGTTAAAGGTGGCAGAATGCTCAGCAAAGCTCAGCTCCCCTAGTCTCCTGTCCGGGGAAATCTGCCCTGTGAGTTGGTTCAGATCACTTTTCTTGGCTCAGATGTGTAACCCAAGACGGGGATCATTTGTCAAATGAGTGTGGCACGCAGAGAGCTATAGGGAGATTATGGAAAGACAGAGGGAGGAGAGAGTGCGGGAGAAGAGAAAAAGGGGGAAAGAGGGCGAGGAGCAGGCACAGCGCTTTTCAGGCACTCGAGATTCAAGTTAGAACCGGTGGTGGTGCAGTCGCGCCACCCCGGAAAGGGGGAGCTGCTGGCAGCTCCCGACATGGCTCTTTTCATGTGGGATGCTTAAGGACAGCTGGCAGACAGAGTAACTTGCAGAGGAGAGAAACTGGCATGAGGATTCCGCCAAAATGGAAGGGCTCCTGTCTCCAATGAGGACGAAGGTAAGAGAAGTGTGGCTCGGTTTCCTTTGCCTTCGCTTGGAGGTACTGAAAAGATTGCCTGAACGGGAGGCTGCTTGAGCTTTTGTCTTATTTCAGAACTAGGCTAGCGAATGCAACCGGATCTCAAAGAATAGGCTTGCCTGCGAGGCAGTGCAGTCTGTGCAAAGGGGAGAGCCATCTGTCAGTGTGGACAATGGGCATCTTAGTCAATGAGTTCGCTCTCGGTTTTTTTGACAGCCATATTTTAGTGGGATTTGCAGTCACTCTTGCTTTGGGGCTGTGTAACCCTCGGAGCTGTTCATTTGCAGGAAGTACCGATTGCTCAGGCTATGTTGCTGTTCTGCGGGACGGATAACATGTTCAAGGCAAAGAGCTTGCCCAGCTCCCACTTGAAATGCGCTCTTTCCTCCTCCTCCTTTTCAGAGTAGGGGAATGAGGGAATCCTCTCCGAGGAAAGTAGGTTAATGCATTCTGGAAACTGGTGTGTGTTCTCTGGGAACTAGCAGAGCTGCAGAGAAGATTTCAGAGCACTGCTCCAATCTTGAACTTGGTCCTATAACATTCAGAACTGGGAAGTCTCCTTGGGAGTCTGAGCACTTGTTCTCCTTGGCTGGAGTTTGCTTTTATTTGAGAAAGGGATTTTCCATTAAAAGCCCAGCTAATGAAAGGGACTGTTTGATATCTGCTATATCCACCTTCAATTCCAAGTGGGTGGATCAAACGTTTTAGATAATGCTGGAAAGAATTTATTTAATCATACATGTCAAAAATCTTTTTTAGAGTGACCATAGTTCTCTAAACCCAGAGCGAGTTAAAACCAATAGAATAAGCCTTTGATTGACCTCACCTCTTTGATGCTCTGTTGATTCACACACAAATAGATTCTTTTGTTACTGACCTTTTTTTTTTTTTTGCTAGTTAATGGGCATGGCTAGAATATTTTCACAGTGTTACTTCTAGGATCCTAGGCACAAAGAAGCCATCCTTTTCGAAGAAGTCCCACTGTCTCTGTTGTGGTCACCAGTTGTCTGATGGTGATTTGTGAGAAGGACAGGCTCCATCCAGTCCAAGTTTGTTATAAATGCTGGCTGATGGCTCTCCTTTGAGATGCTCTTGGTGACCTGTTTGTTCTCACCCAGAGTGTAGGTGAACTCTGCTTGCAGGCAACGTACTTCAATCCAGGGTGATGTGGAGGCAGCAGGCGCTGTTTCAGTCTGCCCGTGTGACAGCCAAGAAAATGGTAAATGCTCCTGACTCCCTAGTTCTCTTGATTTCCCAGGATGATGTTTGACTGCTTTAGGGAATGACCCTGGAAACTGTTCCTTTGGCCAACTTTTCAAGTTAGAGCCTCAGATAGACCATCCCAGTTTTGTGTACCCTCTGACACTCAACACATGGATCTATGGGTGTCAGGTCATAACCTTAAGCAAGTACAACTCTCATAGACTTCGAAGTGAGTTCTCTATGCAAATGTATCAGGGCCCAGGAGCTGTTTAAATCATTGTGTGAGCTGATTAAAATGGTATACTGTAGCAGAGGAGGGAAAATTGATATCACTGGTTCACACCATTCCTGTTGTCTGTTTGCCAGTTGAATTCACATGATGGCCTGGTTCTTGACTATCATGTTGTCTAATGAATGGTGAAATGAAGCACTTTGGGTCTTACCAAAGTTCAAATATAAAATCTCTATGGAGCAAATTGACTCTTAAATTAATTTTTCATAGCTCTCAAGTGTTATGTGTGCGTGTGTGTGCGTGCGTGTGATCTGTGTGTGTGTGTGTTAAGTGGCTTCTCTGAATCCTCCTCTAATCTAGTTCTGATGCGAACATTGACATTTTCATATTGAAAATTCAAATTGCATTTTAATTTAGTAACCTACAGTTTCATCATGACTCAGGGAACAAGGCTTGTCTGTGTAAGACTACAAGAGGAGAATTCCACAGAGAGGTGACTTTAGTTCCTAAGTTGCTCTCTCCTGTGTTGTTGCGTTACCCAATGATTTTTTAAAAAAATACCCAAAAACTTGTATCAGTGACAGTGTGTTGCCATTCTTAAACTTTGATCACATTATGCCTCATTAAGTCCATCCTGGCTTATCTCTCCCTCTTAGTGAGGATTTAGCTTGAAGTTTCTTTTCTACCCGGTATCATGATGAGTCAGACAAAGGAAGCCTGCTTGAGCTAAATTTTGGTGTGTTACGGTTATTTAATAACTTACTGACAGTTTAAAGAAAGTGTTGAGGTAAATTGGACATCATGCAGTAATTTCATTATGCCGTGTAATAGACTTAACCAGTCTAAATTATGGGTGCTTAATGCATTTTTATCTTGGGATTTGCATAATTGACACATAAATATGCATAAGATTAACTGGAAGTGGCAAAATGGACTGGACCAAGTGTTCCTGAGCATGGAAATTAAAGCAGTTGCAAAGAGAGCACCTGAACACACGCTGTCTCCTGGGCTGGTGGCCACCCTTGACATCCCTAGAAGCAGAGAGGACAGCAGTTGGCCCCGCTCACCGCTGTCAGTGCATTGTCAGTGATACATGGCCTCAGTGAGCTTTGCTTGTGGCTGCATTCAAGTGAGCATGCTATTTATTCTTTTACATGTAATGCAATCGCAAAGAGTCCCCTGGCTGATGGATATACTTCTGCCTGGCCTCTTGACAGGCCATGACATGGACCTGGGGATTCCAACCATAACAAATGATGTTTGCAGAGGTGTGGGGGCAGGGAGAGGGTAAAGAAGGTGATTGAGTCATTCCTACTCTAAGGATAAAGGAAAAATTGTATAATTCATCGTCCTTGTGTACTCTTTAAATATGTCCCTTCTGGAATTTGACTTTTAATACTCCAGGCTTAATGGATCTCCTTAATCCTGTGCACACTGTATTTAGTGAATGAGGCTGCCAAAAAATCCCCTTCATGTTCAGCTTCTTGTGACTTCTGTTAGCCAACACCTGCTGCAAAATTTGCAGTGAGCACCTGAGTCAGGCTGTGGGAAATTGGGCCAGGTCTTTAATTTTTGCAGATGTAAAGGGTGTATTCTGAAGCAACCACAGCTTTGACAGAAGATGGAATAGAGGAAGGGGTGGAGAGTGAACAGGAAAGGGAAGACAGATTGGTTAGAAGTCTATGTTATGTTTCTATTAGATTTTGCAACGTGGTTTTACCAAATGTTTGGGCAGCAAATAGGATGGATTGAAAAGAACTTTTCTAGAAGGGTAAAGTATCAACTTTTAAAAAGTTTAATGGCTATTTTGTATGCTAATTAGGGTTTTTAGACTCCTCCAATACTGTAGCCTTTTATGTCTGCATTCAGTTAACAATGACCTAACTCCCTAGGGGTTGTGCATTTTTATCTGTCTGAACCTGTCTTTTACAGTTCAGCTGCATCATTTACAGCACTTTAAGTACTTTTTCAAAGGAATGGTTTCTGATTTGTGACATCAAGTAACTTCCAAAAGGATCAGATCATTTTATAAATGGGATACTTAAATGGAAGCCGAGCTTGTAAAGAATGAGCATTTGAAATGAGCACAGAAATTGTGTCCTGGCAGCTGCTGCTGTGTACTGTACACATAGCTAGATCACTGCACACACAGCTGGAGTTTGTTCAAGAATTGTCTTTTTGGAGCCATTCTGCAGTTTTGGAAGTATGATAGCTTATAGATATGAGGTGTCAAATTTTTGAAATTCTAGACAATATGAATGTAAAGAGAATAAATAAAGATATGAAAGTTATGGCTTTTTAGACCAATAAGCCACATGAAGTCCTATAAGCCACTTAGCATAATGCTCAGTCTGCTTGAAACTTTGCCGGGATTTCACGAACAGTAGTGGCTGAAATGATCCGTTGTGCTCCACCTACTTGATACTTGGATTAGGATAAAATATTGAAAACTCTCATTTAAAGACTTATGTGAACTAGGGCTAAGGAGCGGTTTCTCCAGAGTAGGGAAAACCGAAGAGGTTTTGACAATGACTTGCACATAAATTAAATATTCCTAAATACAAGATCGTGTGCAAGCTAATGTCAGCCTTTGTTTTATCATCATGGAGACTTGCTGGAGCAGAAAAATGACAATTGTAGATCAAATTTGAGAAAATGTTTCCTGGTAGCAGCATGTTTTGTCAGGAGTAAATGAGGCAGTGTGTGATCTTGAGGCCTCAGAGACAGGTGAGGTATAATCAATCCTGTTGTAGATGATGTAAGCCTACCGGAGAAGCCGTGACGAGCTGATACACACATCCTATGTTTTTATGGTGCTGTAAAATACCTTTAATATGAAGCCAATAAAGCCAGAAATAGATGTGTGAATGAAGCATTTGTCAAGTTCCTTACAAAGAGCTTCAGCCTTATTTATTGGCCTGCTCAACTCAACTGGATGCAAGCAACTTTACTCTTACAGAAGAATTCCTTTCAAGGTCTATGTGAACTATGGGACAGAACTTGTGTGAAAGGTAGTTACCCATATACCTTTTGTATACCTGCATGGAAAGGAATAGCACAATGTATTTAGTTTCTATCAGGTTGGTGCATGAGGCACCACAGTTTATCCCAGAACCCCTGGGTTCAAATTCTGGTTCTGTCGCTTACTAGGGTGTCACTTTTCCAAGCCTCAGTGTCTCACATGTAAAATGTCAGGGCTCATTGTAAGACATAACTACATTGCTCTACAATGTTCGAGATGTAGGGAGAATAGGCAGGGGGTTAGTTGTGGATGACCAGGAATGTTTGTTAACACTGCCTTTTAATGTTAAGCCTTCTCATCTGTTAGCTTCAGGTGCCTTCTCACAGAATGCATCTGCATCTCTCCAGGGAGTAGGAAGGAGATGCCAGGATGGTGTTCATTCAGTGAAGACACCACCCTTTAACTCGTACAAGAGACTGATAGTAAGGGTAGGGCCTCTGACCATGCTTGGACATTCCTCTCTAGGCCCCTCAAGATGGGTCCCTCTCTTCATATGGGATAACCTATACTCATGCCTGAAAA